CAAGAAGCAAGAAAACCACTCGTAGACCTGAGATTGCTTCACAGCATCTTCTTTGTAAGCTGTCTGAAGCACTAAGAGTTTCAACCGCAGTTTTCCCGAAAAAAAAAAAAAAAAAAAAAATTCACGGCCGCTCGCTGTTCCTTTAAGTCAGACAATGCAAGAAACGAGGAATAATTTTTAAGCGCGTGGGAAAAACGAAATTCACAACATCCCGCTAGAACTTTACCAGACGACGCCGATCGGCAAACTGACTCTGAAGGGGTGCCGCTGGGAGCTGTATGCGGCGAAAGCTGGTATACGAACGGTCCGCCCTCAAGAAATTAATTCCTGTTAATGTTGGGTCCCCCTCGTAGATACCGCATTTTCCCCACCATAGTCCGAACCCGGTGTATAATCCGCAGGGAAAGTTTACCTTAGATAGTTCGCACTTGGCATCTTTTCCGTACGTAAACAAAATATAACTCAAAGCAAACATTCACAAATGCCTGCTTTGTTAGCTAAAAAGAAAACTTGTGTAAAACATAGATCATCCCAAACATGCTCTGTCATTCTTAAAATACCTGATGTCTCGACGTAAAGAACAACCTTTAAAACAAATCGAATCGTTGGATAGTCCGCACGCGTCCACAGTCGGCACCATGTAAAATTTAAACTTTGAAACAAGTAGAATCCGCGAACAGATGCCCGAAAAATACGGTACATCGCCTTCGCTTTGCAACGAGCCCGCGGTTTTGAAACGTAATCGCTTTCATGCGACCTTCGGTACCAGGTGGGAACTCATATTAGCGGTTCTGAACCCTCGCGAGGAGTATGAGTCAAGCTCAACGCAAATAGCGCGGTTCTAAGATTGCTTCATTTGCTCGTAAGTTAGGGCCAGCTTTAGTCCTTCTGTCGTTGTTTCTTTGAGTTTATCGGGTGTCTCTTAAGCACAGCGATGCGCGGGCCTATTGCGCAACAATTGGTTCAATGACCGGCGCGGATGAAAACAGAAACGCGGTGGGTTGTTTGTCCAATTTAGCTTAAAGATATCGTGGTAACGAACCTGCTAAGGAGAGACAAAGGAGAGAGACTTTGGCGTTTGTCACTTGGAATATGTTTTGTACGGAGTTGAGACAAGCAATCAGACACGCGCGGTCGTCAGAGATAAAGAAAAGTGTGAACAACATTCGTTAACAAGTTCCAGCGAAATATACGCGCTAATAAATTCGTTAAAAAAGGAAAAAAAAAAAAGACGAAACGCTTGAAACGATTTGTTCAAACGCGTGAATGAGTACCGCAATATCAAGTCATGACCGTGCTACAAACAACTTACAAGATAAACACATGATTAACCCGGAACTTTCTCAAGTGCTAAAATCGCCAATATGACGTCTATACTCTATATTATCACAAGCTTTTAGCAGTTCCGCAACCAAATAACTTTAGAAAAAAAAACAAAAAAAAAACAGATAAGACAGCACGTAAATAACAAAAGTAACGTTGCCAATGCACGTTCATTACGACAAGACAAGAGTAAATACACCAAAAGGTTCGTAAACCTTTGAGCACCAAGATTGCTTTCGGGTTAAGGCACCCTTCCCGCCCCGTCACACTCTGCTAATGAATCATGAAAACGACAGTTTGCAGACGCTGTCCGCATGGGCGTATCAACTGGGGGGGGCAAGGGAGCGCTTGCCTCTCCCCCCCCCCCCCCCCCCCCCCCAGTTCTCAGGATGGGGGTGGCAGGGCATGTGTTTTGCCCCCCCCCCCCCCCCCCCCCCCTGAAACAGCCACTTTGCCGGCGGCGCCCAAGGGATACCAAGGGCACCGCACCTCAGTCCTGGGGGGGGGGGGGGGGGAGGGGTTTCGTTTGCCTCCCCCCCCTCCGCCCCTGAAACAGCCGCCACTGGACAGGGCAAACACATTTGCCGGCGGCGCCCAAGGGAGACTAAGGGCACCGCACCTCAGTCCTGGAGGGGAGGGGTCCGGTTTGCCCCCCCCCCCCCCACACACACACACACACAAACACACACACACACACATTCAGAAACAAGTTGGTACGCCACTGGCCTGTCCGGGTTTCTTCCTTGCAGGACGATGCTTGTTCTTACCGAAAACTGCCTGCAGACGTGCTCGAAGCACGCACCCGAACGAAGCAAGATCGCTTCCAACGTAGAAAATTCTGTCACCACGTCTGCTCGTACATTGTACGAAAAGACCCGGTGTTCGCAACAGACGCCACAGGGAGTGTTAGGGAACTGTTTTCGCACATCCGATACGGTACGACGGGCATTCCGGTACCCACTGCGCATGTGCAAGTCTTGTGCGGTATAGCACATGCGCAGTTCGTATACCGGAGAGCCCAGGATGTGATCGGACAGGACTGTCCATACAAAGAAGAAACGCGCCTCACAGACGGTGTCTGCAAACGGTTTTCTATGATTAGGGACTTTAAGCAAACCGTTACCGCGTTCCGCGTGCCGCACTACCGGAGCCCTTGAAGCATGTGTTTAAGGCTCAGGTAGTGCGGTACGCGGAACACGGTAAAAGTTTGCTAAAACTTCCCAATATTACTATTACCGGTGTGATCACGTCTTTGGCCTTCCAAGTAAGGGGAACATAGCTTCGATCGAAATTAACTCTAGAACTCGTCTTTCCGCGCTGGTGTATAGCGTGTTACATCTACAGGGGTTTACTACGGTTGATCGGATGCGATTTCATCGAAGCACGTTTTAGAGAATGGGCACATTTTATCGAAGCACGGCTTAGAGAAAGCGGAGCCTCAGTTTAGAGAAACGCCGATTATCGAAAAGGGGACGCTTTTAAAAAAAAAGCTTTCCTACTTTTTGCGTGTATCACTGGTGCGCGTGTTAAGCCATACCCCCCGCTGCGCTCCCGCCACTTCGCTGGCGGCAGTCTGCGGCGGCTTATTACAAAAATGTTAACTCACCTGATTTACCCGTACACGCCGCTTCGCGGCGGCCGAATTCGCTAAAGGGAGGCTCATCGCCATTTTCTCTAAACTGGGTTCTCTATAAAGGCATTCGGTAAACCGGGGTCGGTAAAACGGCGTTCGCTAAAACGAGCTTCTCTAAACCGGGTGCCTCCACATCTACAGGGACAACAGCCTGCCTGCTGCCTGAGCAATGTATGTTTCACGGCCCCCAAAACAAACGTACCTACGTATACGTATAATTAATTAAACTTCGTTGCGCTAGCACGGTGAATATCATAGGTGTCACGAGTATTTTTTTTAACGACTTTTCATTGCGACAGTGTGGCTTGATCGTACAAAAAATAAATAAAGGCGCTTGTCAAAATGTAAAATGAAGTATCCACTAAAGCAAAATGTTTGACATAGAGCGATCGTGTACTCTACCTACCACCTTTAACACTACTCTTCCAAAGGATCAGCTGCGTTAAAGCAATCGCGCCGTCTCGGTATACACTATTTAAAACGTTGGGTTGTGTGTATGTTTATACAGCCTAGAACTTGGTCTACCTCCAGGGGCGACGACTCTCCCAGCTGTAGATGAACAATTTAGCCAGTGCGGTATACAACCGCTAGCCTGGGGTCTTGAACGTGCACCCCGCAGTACTGATACACGACCGCACGCCGGTACGATGTTCATCCAGATCGAAACGGGCAGGGGTGGGGATGGAACCCAGGATCCTGGCTTCTGCAGCGCGGGCTTTCACTCGACGTGCTCCAAGCTGGTGTGTATTAGCGGCGAGATGTTTCGGTGGCGCCCTCGTTTGGTTACCTTTCGTGACGTCATTACCTTGTGAACAACATGTTCGATGGTGTTTGTAATGAGCATGGCGAAAGCCTGAAATCATAGCGCTCTCAAAGCAACACTGCCAACACCGTCAACATTGAAGTTCTTACATTAATCTTATTTGCGTCTATGATAAATCCTTTGCTGGCGTCATAGTCAGCACTCGGCCAATTGTGGTGGGCCGACCACAGCGACGCTTTCGATCGCTCACGTCGCCAATACACTATTTACGCGTCTTCAGCCCAGCGTGGGATCTCCTCAGCCCAGCACGCGCGTGTTCGTCGCTTCGGAAAGCGAGCAAATCACGCGCCATACGCACGAACACTGAGTAATGAATCGGTCAGGACTCAGGAGCCCCTTTTCGGAAAGGTCTACACGAAGGGTGGCTTTAAATACACTTTTAAACCTTATTTCGGTAAAGCGCTTTGCTCGAGCATGTTGGCAGTCACTGTGACCGCAAATAATATAAAATCCGGGTCAATCATGTTTGTTTTCTTAAATGATGCATGTAGCAGTGCGTATCAAGCATGAATTAGGATCATGAATTTGCTCGCACACATTAACCTGCATGGCTGACATTTTGTGATGCTCATTGCTCGTATCCTAAGTGTTTACGAAAAGGCTCGCAGTAGAACAGATAAGCAAACAGAGCGTAGGTGGCATATTTTACTAGTCCATGATTCCTTAGTAAATAACTCATAAAATGTTTGTCGAGGGGGCTGGTCAGCAATACTTGCTTAGCCGCGTGGCGTTCGGTAATCAACGCGTAATTCAAACTTCGTCAACTTCGCGAGATTAACATAATTAGCTTAACTCAAATCACAAGCTCTAAAAAATTGGATGTTCTGTTTGACTTTTGCTTTATCTAAACAGCCTAGCATGCTCGGGCCAACATTTCACTCGACACGCCAACGGAAGTCACTATTTTGTGTCCATTTTCCTCGCGCGCACACTCACCGTAATATTTGTATCCATTAAGGCGGCTAAGGTCCTATTTGTTCTTAAAAGAGCACAACAAAACACCGGGCACGGTGTTTTGGTGTGTTCAAGCTCATCAGAATAATCCTTACGGTTGAATTTAGAAATAGTCTGGTTGAAAACCATAATCGGCCACCACGTTCTTCTAAACACAGAAAATCCTGCAGTTTTCCCGAAAGAGTGCAAAATGTTTTGCGTGCTATCTCTAGGACCGCGTTTTCCCCTATGGTTCATTAAAAAATAACAACTCGCTGCCATACGCACCTTTTCACACTTGGCCGTATGGCCATGTATCACGTCGCCGCCATGTCACCAGGCGCTCGTTCGACGGACGCTGACGTCTCCTTCGATCTCTGAAGGATACCGGCGATAGAAGATGCAGGTGTTTGAGGACACAGGTCTTAGAAGACACAGTTTCTTAAGGTGACAGGTCCTAGATGACACAAGTTTTTGCGAACAGTTGCCCTAGAAGACGCAGGTTCTTGAGTACGCAGGTCCTAGAAGACGCAGATTTTTCAGGACACATATCATTGAAGACTCAAGGTCTGGAGGACACAAACCCCAGAAGGTACGGGACATGGGCCCTCCACACAGTGCCTGGTGAAAGTACACCCGCGCTGGAGTCGCGGGAGTCTCGAAGACATATACCCCCGAAGTCGTCCACCCACGTAAATGAAGCGGGCGACCGGCCTGTGTCCGGTTAGCTGGTGATCACGAGGCGCTGACGCCAAGAGGTTCCACTTATCGGAGTTCCCCCCTCATCCCCGATAGCGTCCTCTAGGTCCCCCAAGAAAGAGCATTCGGCGAAGACCGAACTGCCCGATCAGATACGCGGTAACGGCTCACAAAGCAATCGCCCAAGAATGATTTCCTATCGCTCCTGCTGATGCTTTGTTCTACGGCCGAGTCGCCTTGAGACAATAGGTGACGGGTAGGTCCCCGCAGACGACCTTGCCGTCGTGATCGAGTCGTCTTGTACCTTGAAATGAGCGACGACAGCGATCTTGGCTTGCACCGATTACGCGACGTCTTGCTCGGAGATAACAACGTCGTGCTGACGCTGCTTGCGAGACCTTTCCTTTCGGGTCGTTCAAGGAGGGGGCGTAAGATCACGTTATGTTTGCCGACGTGTCTTCCTTGCGCAATGCGGTGCTTGTGGTGTTCCTTTGTCCTTTCAGTGTTTCTTCAAATCAGCAGGCTGTTTCCGGTCGACGAGAAAAGCGCGTGCTCACCAGCTCCGCGTTTGTGTCTGTAGACCACTGGTAGCTTTTTTTCCTTGCCTTCCTTTTCCCCTAAAGGCCAAAATTTTATAGTTGTTGATTCGCCTCAATATAAGTTCGACAGATCAGTAGACACATCTGAACTAATCACTCAAATTACAAATAAATTTGTTTATTCTCGCGAAGTTACTGAAGTATAGAACTTCAGTAACTGTGAGGATGTACTGGTAAAACTGAAAACGTGACGTCAAACGTTGAAATATGAGTGTAGCACAGCGTTTTCTTGCGGATTACTAATATTTCAACAATCTAGGTGGAAAAAACACGCCAGTAAACAAAAGAAAAAAGACGCGCAAAATACTGTGTTTTTTAGACTGCCAGCTCGACTTGCAACTTTTACAGAATGGGACGTCAAGCCACTGGAGCCGCTGGAAATTTTAGATGTTGGCTTCAGTAGAACCTTCGTTTAACGTTTTCTGAATGGCTATTTTGAATTTAGAGATAATAAATAGCATACCGGGAAGAGCAAATCCTATAGTAGTCTGAAAATGCGCGTAGTTTAGATAGCTCAAAAAACTGCTACAGCTCCCCTTTGATGGGCCGTCCCCAGGGTTGCCAATGTACATGCGCCGTAGTAGCAGACGTTGCCATCCGCTTGGGGGCGCATGTGGCGGTATCGGCGCTCGGTAGACCCGTGAAGTCGGTGGTGACTCAAGGTTTTAATTTGAATACACCGTAAGTTTATCCCGCCGTCCTTTGCAACAGCAATGCAGATGTAATCGCTGATTAAAGTTTTTTTCGAAGGCCCTCAAAAACGCTTCGCGGTTTGGTCAGTAGATGGCGCTGAACAATTGCGGGGGAGACTAGATTTACCTTAAGTGAGCAGTGATAGAAGCTACTTTACTACATCGAGCGATAAGTCACAGCTTCGCAAGGTCATTGGAAGTCTTTCCCATTTCTTCTCCGATTCAATCGCGCCGAGTGAAGCCACCTCTGATTGCGTAACGCTCAATTCATTTTTATCACTCGTCAGATCGTGCACGGATCTGCAAAACGTGTCGCTACGTTCTGTGCCAGAAATATCTCTTATCAATTTAGCATACTGATAGATTGATTAGAACGGGAGCATGAACATTATACGATTAAAGTCCCTTGATACTTCTTTTACGTGTAACGACAACCAATACAAATGATAAAGCACATTCCGCTGGAACAAAATGGCGTCATTCAGTTCAAACCTCTGCTGTGCGCTGCCATTCGCTTCCTAAAACCCACACCGTCACGCAGTAGGCGCTTTAAAATGTGTCGCTACTTTTAGGAAGCTCTTATTTAGAAACTTTCTATCCAATCAGTAAGCGCGGGAGGGATAAGTAAGTAAACGCTGATTACGCGTAGACGTTGTAAATCTGGGTTGCGGTGACAGAGGGTACGAGTTGTGTTGGCGCTCAATCTCCATATTAAAATAAGTATTTAACAGGCTCTCCTGCATGCTTGCTCAAACCTGTTCGAAGTTTTGCTTACGTCGGAAATCGGAAGTTACGGTTCGTATGAACGTTTGCTGTATGGACTCCTTGGTCCAGCTGGACATGCGAAGTTAATATCTAGCACTGCTCGTTTGCAAAAACAAATAACATCATAGGTACAGTCTCCGGCGATATGAAAGACCCACTGGGAGCGCGTGGCCGAGGTGGTGGCTGGCGGGGGCGCTGCGAGCGCTCCGGGCAATTCCATTCTGCTTCGAGGGGAGGACGCTCGCTCAAGCCCAGCACAAACTGATAGGAGCGCGCTTTAGCTGAGCCCCGAGTGAGCGTCCTCCCCTTGAAGCAGAATGGAACTGCCCGGAGCGCTCGCAGCGCCCCCGCCAACCACCACCTCGGCCACGCGCTCCCAGTGGGTCTTTCATATTGCCGGAGACTGTACCATAACCTGCAAAATTAGTACCATCACCGCCAATTAGTACCATCACCACATCACCACATCATCGCCGTATAATTCATCCCTGATACTTTATCTCTATCCAAAGATAGTCAAACTTTCTGTGACATTTCAGATTAAGTGAAGAGTGCGCGTGTTCAGCTTTGATTGTCACTCCAAGTGCGCTGGAGCCCATGTGCCCATGCCTCTGACTGCATATATTGAAATATAAGGTAGTTCGTTTCACTTTATGTGGGAGCGTAACCGAATCCACAAGCAGGACAACGATGCCTCGAAGGATGCTTGCACTGCACGAGCACGCGTGCTTGGCAGGGACGCTGAGTGCCCGGAGCTCACTTTTGTAGCTTCGGCTCGCACTTGAAGTGAAACGCGACAGTCTGGCCTGAGTCCCTTCATTGATAAGGGTCGCTGCCTTCATACGCAAGAAAGAAACAAAGCCTTGGCTTCAGACACTCAGATTCGCTCGGCGTCCTTCAGTACACGAGCAGAACTGGTAGAATTACATAACCACTACTCAAGCGAAAACAAAATCATAGGCTCATTGCTTCGCGGTAGCCGTGGTGTTTTCCCGTACGTATCGTATATTCGCACCATGCAAGAGGACTCCTAGCATTGAGTTTGGAAAACGAAGCACTTACAAATTTGATTGAATGGTCTTTCAGTATTCCCAACAATACCACACCATCCACACATGCCTCACAGGTCTATATGTGCTTTAAATTTTATCACTGTTTACCTGTGGAAGTTACCACACAACACACAATACACATGAGAGGCATATGGGAGTTAATAGTAAATACGAAAAATAAGCGAGGTCGTTTCTCCGCTAACTTTAGCAGGGAAACTTTCCCCGTTAAACTTAGCGTGAAAATTTCTCGCTAAATTTAGCTCCTCGGGCACGACGACATTCAAACGATGACAGTCGCAGACGACAATCAAACCACCGCTAAAAAAAATAATAACAAATTTGATGCATGCGAAGTTTTTTGCTTTCTGATTTAGAGCACGGATTAGCACCGTTCCCATTTCGAAGCGGCGCAGTTCATAGTCCTTGAATTCGCAAACAGAACATTTTCAATCAAATCAATAGACATATACATTTATAACTAGAAAAGCGGCGCGTAAAACGAAAAAGAAAAGGCAGATAAGAGAGGATGAAAAGAGCGAGGTACGAGAAGGTCACGGAAGCGAACGCACTCGTCGTCGGCCGGTCGAGACGGCGTCGCGCGCTCGACTCCAGCGGAAGGAGTTGTGGACAGGTGTTGCGAAGCAGCCGCCACTTCTTCCTAGACGCGATGACCCAAGGCAGCGGCAGCCCTTTGGCCTCCGGAAGTGGCGCAGTTGTTGGCTGCCATCTAGCCGGGCTTCTTACCGCCACGCTCGTCTGCCAAACGGCCGTTTCTGCGCCTTTCTTTTTAATTGCGATTATTAATGATTTCTATCCATCCCCGGGGGGTACATTGACGTCAACCTTCATCGATAAATAAAAAAACAAAACCTTTTTTTTTTTTTTTTTTTTAGGGTAGAGCGATTTTTTGTCAGGTGCTTGAGGAATAGCGAATGGAAGAATGCGAAGAGCTAGCTCGTCAGTTGAACCTTTTTTTTTTTTTTCAAAATTGCTCGCCTTTTATTGGCTGCTGCGTCGATTATCCGAAGCCGCCATATTCTGGGCATGCGCTTTGAGCCTGCGTTAGACACGAGTGTTGTGTCAGTATTCGGGGGGTGCTCGGGTCCAAATGTATTCAACACACGCATACTGCGCCAGCGCTTGGTGTTAACCCGATTCCCGTGTGACGTGCTCGGCGTAGGGAGAAATGCCAAAATATGACGGCCTCCAGTGTTGCTTTGTTGGGCTTTTGAAAGGGGCACCGATCCGTACAACGCTGGCATTTACAGAGCCCGAGCGCCTTCCTATGGGCTATCTGCGAGCGAGTTATCGTAGTCATTGCCTTTTAACCACGGTGGCAAAATACGTTAAGACAAGGCTACGGTATTTTAGTACTGGCGCGCAATTAAGCGCCCCCCTGCGTGTTAATTATTACGCTTAGCGACAACCAGGAACGCCGGCAAGACCTCTGGAAGAACACGGCTCACTCAGGGTGGCGATCGCGAGCTGTTTTTTGGGTTTTATAAAGGCGTTCGGTATGAGCCCTTTGAACTGCCCCTGAAACACGGGTATACTATTAGTCACGTGCGTGACCGAAAGCGTCGCTGTGGTCGCAAATCGCGATCGGTCGAACGCTAGCTGTGACGTCTTTAATCGGATTAAATATTTTCCTTTATCGACGGAAATCAGCGCAGTGCAGAGTGTCAACTTGACGACGTTGGTCTCACACAGCGATGACTCCGAGCTTCCATTATCAGTTTATTTACACATACCATCGAACTTGTTCATCGCAACCGATGATAAGTAGTCAAAGATCACAACTCACGACGTCACGGCGAGAAAAAATTCGGTTATGACGTCACGAACGGAAACTAGAAGGGGGCGCCACCGAAACATCTCGGCCCTAATAGTCACTGATCAGCTTTAGTTTAGCGTACGCAGAAGCTTTGCGTGTACGGAAAGAAACAGCGCATGCGCGGAGCCTAAACCGCAATCCTTCCTTCCGGGCTTATTACGACAGTAAACACGCGTTTTCTTTGTGCGTGTGTCTGTGTGTGTGTTTATTTCAATGCCCAGTTGAATCG